TAAACATAATCAAAACATTGCAAGTTACTTCAAAAATGTAAGAATTAAAAAAATCTACTGTTGTAAATGGAGATAAGGGATTAATATTAATGCTATTTTCACTATTTACAGTAAATTGTGAACATTTCACATACAGTGACATTTAGCCCACCAGAGTCACTTAATGATGGAACTGGAAGTGTCAGGATTACCATTGCTAAGCATCATGGTCATCTGGCATCATGTTTTATGAACACATCCTTAGCAATGGCAATTGCAGGCCCAACTGCCATCATTAAACCAAGGATTCTCTGTATTCTGAAATATTTGTGCTAATAGCCATTACTTTATTTTTTTAAAAAAAAATTATGAACTTGCTTGTTGTCTGGTTAAAAACCAGGTTTTGAGAATTGTCTAGTTTAATTTTTTTTCTTAAACAACAAATAGTCGATGACTCTAGGCCAGATATGTCAAACTCGCGATGTCATGTGATGTTGCGCAACGTATCGGGACGGTTTTGCCATTGCCGGCAATGGGGTGGGCACGGCTTCCGGATGACGCGTCCGGCCCGTGGGCTGGCAGTTTGACACCCCTGCTCTAGGCAGTACATAACAATCAAACAAAAAATTGCAATAAAACATAAAAACTTTTTTAAAAATGTGAAGGACAATGCGGTCAGGGATTTCCCTCTCCCTCGATGAAAGCCTCGGTGAATAGCCTGATCATAGGGCTGTTCTAAACAATAGCAGAATGGGGGCAATCTGGATCTTGTGGGGAACCATTCCAGAAAGCAGATAACTGCTATAGAGTGTTCCATGTTTCTGAGAGATGACATTGTTTAATTGAAAGAATCTGGAGCATCCTACAGGATCAAATTGGCCAGGCAGATTTTATGGGAGGCAGGCAGTGCCTCAAGTAACCAAGCTTTATGCCCTATAAATCTTGAATCACACCCCGAAGGAAACTGCCAGATATTGCAACTTCTGAAGCAGAAGTGTATGTGTGTGCACTTGTATGTATGCATGTATTTAAATTTATATAGATGCTGATCTCATCACAAATGTTTCTGGGTGTCATACAAATACAGTATCAGACATATAAGATCTGCCTTCCCCAACATGGTGCCTTCCAGGTATGGGGAAAGTACCATTTCCAGAACTTGATTTGGCAGTGATAATGTACACAAAATCCCAAAATCCCTTTCAAATTCCCCAGAACTCCTCAGATTAAAAATACTAAAATTCAGTGGCGAATACATGAATATTGGCATCCCAGTTTCCCACTGATTTCTTTTGGGAAACAAAAGCATATGAAAGACTTTAAATGGGCTTAGCACACCGTCAAAATATATAGTAAACATCAAATGTGGAAGGTTATTGCTAACCATCTTATTCTTTACCACCAGAAGTGAAAGACTACATCCAATAGATGATCACGCTATTATTAATTTATTTATTAAATTTTTATGCCACCCATTTCACTGCTAAGTGACTCTGGTGGGCTAAATGTCATGTATGTGAAATGTTTACAATTCACTGTAAATAGTGAAAATAGCATTAATATTAATCCCTTATCTCCATTTATAACAGTAGATTTTTTTAAATTCTTAATTTTTTTTGAAGTCACTTGTAGTCTTTTGATTATGTTTACATGTGTATGTGTGTGTATATATGTATATTATCTTGGAAGAAGTAGTACAAAATAAGCTAGAATGATTCATTGCTAAATAACTAATTGTTGTGGCTTGTGGCTTTAAAATTATTTATGTTTTTCACTACTGACTAATTTGGCAAATTAGTAATGTATTATATGTTTGAAAACTAACCATCTTTCTTTCCTGTATCTAAGTTAACATTTGAAACTGAAATAAGTTGGTTTGATCTTCTAGAGAAGATGTAGTAAAAAGTTATCCCTCGACACAAGTTTTCCTTTTAGAAATGCTTAACTGGTTTTCTAAAATATGACATGTTAAATGATCCTCGTTGTAAAGAAAAGTGCATTTGCAGGTTCCGATGTGACTGCTTCTATGCAGAGCCATTCTTTGCATGAGTATTTTGGGTCAGGCCGTGAATTTTTTTCCTTTTCCTCTTTCCCACTAAAATCATTGAAATATATTCCGTCAGTCTTTCACATCAGAGGTGTAAATGGATTTCTTGAAAGGGTTTTTTTTTTTTTTGAATGGTAAAAGGCAATCACTTCACAACTTCTACTCCATTATGGGCTGCATCAGAGAGCTTAACATACCACCCCAACTTTGTGAATGCTCTGCTGTTCAATGACCTTGCCTCTGCAAGGGCAGATGTTCAATTTGTGCCAAGAAATGCTGTGCCACAGCATTTCTGTATGCTGCATGTTTGACAGCACTTGCACCAAAGCAGCCGAGTTGAAGTTTATAGAATGGATTTATTTTTCCTTTTTTTTTCCCTTGTGCCACGGGATGGAAATGAGATCATCCCTTTATATTTCCTTGTGTATTTAAAAGATTGCTACTGTGCAGTTATAATGCAGAAGCAACATAGATCCCTCTGTATTTACTGGGAAATGTATTTCAGTTTACTAATCTGGAAACGTACAGGACTAAAGTATAAGTGGAGAATTTCCAAATAACCTTTATTTTCTACTGGTATTGTTTGACTCCCAACAAAATATGCACATTCACTCTTCTACATCTCTGTCTTTTCATGTAGATAAAAGATTATTAAAAAAAGATCTAAAATGTGCGTAGTGATGTTAGACAATAAAAATGGGCTCCCCCAAAAAAGTAAACTAGTTTTTACTCAAACAGTGCATATCTTTACACTTTCAACAAAATTTGTGCAACAAATGATATTTCCAAAATTTTCATATTTTATCCCATACACTTTTTAATTGTAGTTTTAACTTACAGTTAAATTTCATTTTTCTTTTTTAAAAAATGTGAAAAATTGGACACTGTTGTGTAGCTCTCAAGAACTTGAAGTTGGGCAGTGGAAAAGGAAGCCCTATTCACTAGTGGAAGTGTATTAGCACAAGTTTGAGTTCCACTCTACTCTTCTGAGAAAGACTTTGCTTTCAAAGGAAGGGAGTAATTACAGTGTTGTTTCCAGTTCATTATAAGATGTTATAATGAGGGAAACTATAAACAAGAGTCAATATGATCTAGAGATTGGAAATGCAGATTGAAATGAAGAGGCATTAAAATCATTATCACTTTATGTAATACCTTAGTGATTGTAAGGATAACAGAGGAGGAAGGAAAACTTTTTTTGCCATTGCTTGGAGAAAGCAAAAGATAAAAAAGTAGTATTCAAACAAATAAGGATGCTTACATACAGACGTTGTGTAGAAAAGCAAGAACATGGGAGTTTAATGATTTCAGACTTATATAACTGTAATTAATCATTTTTAAATTATATAAAATTCAACATAATAAGAATCTAGTGCTGGTCAGTTACTCGCCATGCATTGGCCAGGACACTAGAAAGTGCATTTCTTCTTGGAAATTGGGGAAAATATTGTATTTTAAACTATTCATAAATAAGAATTTAAATTGAAAGGAACCTCAGTCTTCCTTCCTGAGGAATTAAGGTTTCTATAGATCCTTACATTAAGATATTTTGGCTTGATCTACAATCAAGAGTCTTGGAGTTGTATAAAAAAAATAGATTTATTTTTATTTATTTGTTTTAAGCGTATAGTTTATCCTGCCTCAAAACCCCATTGTGTCTATATATTTTGTATAAAATTTTATTTCATATTTCTAACAAGAATCCTCTGAATGGAAAGGTATATAAGTTTTCTTTATAAATGGATGGACTAAAAATAGAAAACCAAAGTAAAGCAAGAAAGAGTTATGTCAGAGGTGGAATTTAAACTTAAATCAAAGGATGTGGATCACTTCTGAATTTCTCTAAAATAAAAAAAAATATTTTTAATTATATTTTAAAGTGATAACACATTAGCATATTTATATTTAGAAAACTATATTTAATAACTGTTTAGGGAAAATAGCCTTGAAGGGAAGAGCTGCTTATGGTACTGAATTAATATTCATTGAGTAATAAACTGCTTTTGTTAATTCATTATTAAGTACTGAGTGTGCAAAGAGAGAATTGACATTTGCTGATGTAAAGATGATGTTTGGCATGTTATCTCCCAGTCCTAAAATCCTGAGGCTTAAAAACTTGTCTTATGCCCAGTGATCAGCCTTAAACCTCTTTGCTGTCACTGAAGAAAACAAATCTTTTTCCTTCCTTTGCCTCAGGGATGCGGAGAGCTGAAGTGGTCCTGTGTGACTAAATTAGATGAAAGACTTGCCTTCCCACCATGGAGACACAGAGTCTAATCAAGTGAAATGAGTTCTGAGATACCAGCTCACTTCCTAGGGGATATCAGTTTACATTACAAAATCACACGACACCTAATTCATCACAGTTGATGCAGACTTTACTCAGGAGAGGGCCATAGCTCAGACAATAAGATAGTAAGCCACCTGTCCCCTTTATGGTTAGGGCCTGCTTATTAAGCATGGAAGGTTCTACAACTTGCATATTTATGGAGTACATCTAAGAAGCAAAGAGATGTCTATGTTAGAAGTTGAAAAATTAATCTTGAAGACATAACCAACTTGCAGTTAATATAGCTCATTCACAATTCCTTAATCTGTGTATGAGTCTGAAATGTCCTTGCTCACAAAGATGTTAAAGAAATCTATATATAAACTTGGTAAAAACTGGTATAATAACTTGTCCAAAATTGATGTCTTCAAAAATACTGGAAGTATGGTATCCAACATTACAGGTCATAACTGGTTAAAAGTTCTTGGGGTTGTAGTCTCAATATTCCTGCAGGATTAACATTGGGGGACCTGTGCTGTATTATCTCAAATGATCCTGTTCTATCATAAAACGACATTATAGTGAGTTCATAAGTAAATGTCTAAATACTTTGGAGGAGCTTCCATGAGGTTTTCTGCATTGACATTTGATGTAGCAAATAGTAACATCTATTTATAACCAAATATGTTTCTTGATTTCTTTCAGGGCATTGTTATAACTCCTTTGCTCCTACTGCTTTTTGTAAGTATCTTAATGTTGATTCTACTTGAGTTATTGCATTATTGTTACTATTGCTCTATACTGATTGCTCTATATTGTTCTATTGTAAATGAGTTGTTGCAGATTATTTTAAATGATGGACGGATTTATGGTCAGTGTTTTGCATTTCTTTCACTTTCTTCCTAAAGATGTATTGCAATTTCACCAAAACATTGCCAATGGACAATATATGCATTTCATCGTACACTGTTTGCTAGTGTAAAATACATTAATAACATGTTTTTAAGCCAGCAAAAATAAAAATGTCTCAAACGTTGCTCATGACTACCTCATCTGAGAGAATAGTCTGTATGATTGACCTATAGCTAGCACAGGAGCATGCAATTTAGTTTGGACTAATGGATACATTATAGTCTAAGGGCATATCATGAGCTTTTTCATAACATGGTGATTAAGGGAAGGGAGAAGCTTCCTAATTCACAAAAGAGTTCCTGTAATAGACATTGCTAATTACAGAAGATAGTCTGATATGGTTGCTTCCTTCTACCCTTTCTAGCTTTCCTATCCATCCCACCCAATCGCCACCACTTTAGCTTATCTACATTTTTGCTAAGGGGTTATGCATGCTTCCAAATAAAACAATGATCCTATAGCCACCTACTGTTTTTGTTTTCTAAAAGTGCCTTTGGGGGTAGTATCCTTGAAAATAAATATAATGTAAAAGGTGTAATATTTCAGCTTGCTAGTCCTCTTTTTCATTAATAAAATGGTGATTGCCCAGGGCATATTGGAGCTTATCCCTGGACCATAAAGCTGGTCAAAAATTATTGTAGTTCTGTAGCATGAAATTCCAGTTAAGATCTATCAATTCGTACACAAAAAAGTTAGCTTTGTATCCTTGGGCAAAATGTCCTCAATGAGCTGTCTTATCTGCCAACTCACTTAGCTTTGGGCTAAAACCACATTTCTGATTGGGAAAAATAAAACTGGTGAAGACTGATGGTCTGTATCTTTGTTGTTGTCACTGTCTGAACATAAGGGCAGAGCAAAGGGGGAAAAGGATGACATGGACTTTTGCATGTGCAAACGGATGTTGGTTCCAAATATTAGAGTAGCAGAGAATCTGATCAAAAGAACCTCTCAAATCAAGATCAAATCAATACCTCCATGCAATTTTCTTGATAAAGCTTTTTTTTTTAACCAAAAAGCTTATAATGAAGCCTAAACTTCTAGGTAATTTTGCAATGTTAAGCTAAAACTTGTTGTTTCCCATCGAAACCCTCACAGCCTCCAGGCACTGGAATCCAACATTCATGGAATTGCTTAATTCACCAGGGGCAGAGATGTATAATTGGGTATCATCAGCATACTGATATATTTCACCCCATGGCGACCAAGGAGTTCACCCAACCGCTTCATGTATATGTTGAATAGGAGAGGGGAGAGCACCAAACCCTGTAGCATCCCACATAGTATGTATGCAGTACCAGTGTGCAAATATACAGGTAGTCCTCAACTTGTAGCTACAGTTAGAACCAGAATTTCCATTGCTAAGCAAGACAGTTGTTAAGTAAGCAATGCACGATTTTATGACCTTTTTTGACATGGTTGTTAAGTGAATCAGACAATCATTAAAAAAATCTGGCTTCCTCTATTGACTTTGTCAAAAGCTGGCTGGAAAGGTTGCAAATGGCAATCACATGACTCCAGAATATTCCAATCATCATAAGTGTCCAAATTTTGATCACTTGACCGTGGAGATGTTACAACAGTCATAAGTATGGAAACTGGTAATAAGTCATTTTTTCGGAGTCATTGTAACTTAAAACAGTCACTAAACAAATGGCTGTAAGTTGAGAATTACCTATGCTTCTTGATCTCTTTTATTGGATTCATACTACTGGTGGGAATGATTAAACAAAACTGACATCTTATGTCAACCAAGGAGTTCACCCAACTGCTTCATGTACTGTATATATTGAATAGGAGAGGGGAGAGCACCAAACCTTGCATGGCTTCTAGTTAACTAGAATCATAAAACATTTTTAAAATGGCTTCTGAGTGTGATTATTTTAATGAGGAGTTAAAATCTTTATTATAGTGACAAAAGAAAATACCTGGGCCTGAGCCACCCAACATTTTGAAACTCAAGAAATATAGATCAAATATTTTCATATCAAATCTAAAATATTTGGTATATAGAGTATAATCAATTATAAAGCATGACTCTTTCTTCTTTTCCTTTTTTTTGAAAATAAGTATCACAGTAGCAAAATATGCACCTTCCTTCCATTAACGTGCCACTATTACGTTTCTTTATCGTGCCTTTGAGAAAAGATTGCTTCAGGATATTGTTATGCGGGAGAAATAGTCTAATGGTTACTGATGCTTGTGCCAGTTTTCTCTGAATGTTCTAGAATGGCAATACATATGAGGCACCAGTGGGAAATTAAATGACAGTCATACTTATGTACAGTAGCATAGGTTTTTTTTAACAACATAAATAATTAAATGCTGTTGTGTTCCAAATTTGACCAAAAGTGTTCACAGGAGAACAGTTTCAGAAATCTTATTTAATTCCATCAAGCTTTTTGGTTTTTAGCTACACTACAATATGCTGGAACGTCAAGTACACATACATGTACATAGACAAAAAGACATCTGCACAGAGATAAAACAATTAATAGGCAAGATAGCAGTACTTTTAAAAAAATCAATTAAAACTGTTACGTTGAGGAGCTTTCTAGTGTTAGTGGTCTTTGAACAAAAAAAGTCAAGTAATCAAAACAAAAACTTAAAAAGAGCTGCTATTATGAACTATGTTGTTGTTTGGTATTCTTTGTAATGTAAACCAATCCTGGTAAATTAAAGCTTCTGCTTCTTCAATTTCATTACTTAATATACTTCATTTGGACAGTGTTAATGCAAATAATATAGCATTGTATACTATTCTTAGAATGAAGAGTTAGTTGCATTTCTAAAAAGCGGGATTTTTTTGAATGGAAGAGAAAGCATGCATTTTTACAATTTTATGTTTTTATAGTTAGATGTTTTATTGTTGTTATGAGGTGCCTAGAGATGTGTTTTAAGATGGTCTGCTGAGACTTCCAGTTTTGCGCAGTAGTGTAGCAGCCAAGGGATCGCAGGGCTCCGCACCCTACAGCTGATTTTCTGCCTATTAGGGGACCTTAAATGGGCTAGAAGTCACCCCGAAGAGGTGGCAATGAAGGAAGGAAGTCACGTGGACCACAGAGAGATGGCGTTCGACCCGATCGGTCTGGGAAAAGCCTTCCAGAAACCAACAGGAGAAAGGCTAGCCTAACTTCAGAGTCTAGCCCACGCTACAAGCAACCGAAGCCCCAAAGTTTTTACAATCAGCTATTTTAAGCTGATTGTAAACAACATGCTTGGATCTGGGTAAGAACATCGATTTTCTACATATTAACTAATTTCCTGGGGAAAAAATCCCAAAAAGAAAAAAAAACTCTGAAAGTGAGGAGGGGGAATTTGCTCCACCCTTCTGCAGATGGAAGCAGCAAATTAAACATTTTATGGGGGAGAAATATACTGAAATGAAATGAATATAAGACCTAAATCTGGATAAGTTTGTTATTTGTCTAAAATCTCTTAAGATTTTCACTTTAAACTATGAAAATAGAAGATAACTCGTTATTTTGAAAACTGGAAAAAAATGAACTGGTGCTGACATCTAGTGGTGGATGAAAATTACAACAACAGTTGCTCTAATACAAGACTAAAGCCTGAGAAAAGTTAATCTGTTCTTATGACCTTGAAAGTTCTAATAATAGAGAATAGCTGTGACAAAAAAAGAAAACACTTTGGGCTACATACAAAGTGAGAACTATAAACTTTTTAAAAAAAAAATCTGACCTTTCTGGATTACAAATATTAACTTAACTGTGACTCTAAAGCTGTTTGCAGAGAAAGGAAAACCTTGATTTTTGGCTAATATGGAAAATCAGAGATCTACAGAAAGAATGTATCAAGAAAAAACAAATACTTTCCAGGAGGAGAGATGTATAAGATGTTGCAACTAATTCAAACAATGATCTTAAACCTCAAGGAAATTAAAAATTAAAAATAATTTTGAAAGTATAAATTAACATATCTCCAATTTGACTGTATGGCAAAAAAACTCTCATAGAATAATAATGAAGAGGGAGCAGATAAAGCAGATAACTGAATATAAATTGGAGGAAAGAGATTTAAAGATGGAACCTAATAATATAAGGAAGTATGACTTGACTCAAGTGGAGAAGAACTTACAAGAAACATTGGACATGGAAAATATAACTTGTACTCTAAGAACACAAAATAAATCTGAGGATAAGAAAAAAGATTTGACAAAATGGATTGCAGAGCTGTCGGGAGTACCACGAGAAATGGGGAGACATGGATGATGAGAGAAACTAAGAGAGAAAGAAAAGATAGAATCTTCAATTTAATATGAAAGGGAAAATCTTTTTACAAAGACATGTTGCTTGATTTGCCTCTTATATCTACAACAACATTTGCAGGATTATGGAAAGACTTTTTGATTCAACAGAATATATTGATTTCGCAAAAGAAGAGGGCTAAAGTGAGTATTGAGGAATTAGATGATGGGATGTATCATAGGGAATATTTAAAAATTAAACACTTGTTTGAATATAGTTGAAGAAATAGAAAGATTTAGTTTAAGAGGAATGAACCCCCCAAGTAATATATTATTCTTTCTTTTCTCTTTCTTTTACTGTTTTTTGATATGAGAAATATAAAAATGTTTGGGATAGTCAATATAAAGGAAATGTTTTAGATATTTAAATGTAATTGAACTTAAGAAAATTCCAACAGATAATTAAAAAAAATGTTTTGAATAGAGTTAAAAGATTAGATGATTGAATGTATTAAATGGAACATCTAAAGATTAAGCATATGTTTAATTATGGATAAAAAAAACAGAAAAAGTTTGGAAATAAATGTATATTAGTTTAAGAGGGATATGTATTTTAAGTTGTATATTATTTTCTTATTCTTTTCTCTTTTTTTCCTCTCTTCTTTTTTTTTGTCTTTTTTTACTTTTTAAGACGTGAAAAATGTAAAAGTGTTGGTATGGCTTGTAAGAGGAAAATAGATTTAAATACTTAAATGTAATTAACCTTGAGAAAATCTTAACCAGTAAGAATGTTCTGAACATTGTAGGGAAAACAAATTTAAAAAAGAATTGTAAACAGGATTTATGACAAGGCAACCAAGATGACCAGATAGAAAAGAAGCATGATATTGATGTGATTATTATTTGTAGAAATTTTTAAAAAATATTTATATTTAATTGTTACCTATCAAACTAGAGCTGATGTAGTTGAGACTCTAGAAAGAGTACAGAGAAGAGCAACAAAGATGATCAGGGGACTGGAGGCTAAAACATAAGGAAAGGTTGCTGGAATTGGGTATGTCTAGTTTAATGAAGAGAAGGACGAGGGGTGACATGATAACAGTGTTCCAATATCTCAGGGGCTGCCACAAAGAAGAGGGAGTCAAGCTATTCTCCAAAGCACCTGAAGGCAGGACAAGAAGCAATGGATGGAAACTAGCCAAAGAGAGAAGCAATCTAGAACTAAGGAGAAATTTCCTGACAGTTAGAACAATTAATCAGCGGAACAACCTGCCTCCAGAAGCGGTGAATGCTCCAACACTGGAAGTTTTTAAGAAGAGACTGGACAGCCATTTGTCCGAAATGATATAGGGTTTCCTGCCTGAGCGGGGGTTGGATTAGAAGATCTCCAAGGTCCCTTCCAATTCTATTATTATTATTATTAGTAGTAGGTCTGAAAAGAATCGAAATTTGGAATGGAAGTTGATTTGTATCATATTTTTCTATGTTTTCATTCTGTTTATAAACTGTAATTATTATAATAGTTAGTAAATAAATTCACTAATTATTTCAGTTGTTGTTAAATCTAATGATACTGTCTTAGAAAGGACTATAAACTAGAAAGGTGAGTTTCTGGATAAAGATTAACTGATTGATTAACTGATTTATCTGAAAAAAGTGCCTTTATATTTTCATTAGCATTGCACTTTGCCCACATAAGCGTTGGACCTGCTTGTTACTATGTTGTTGAATCATTGCAAGTTCTGATTCAATGTTTTTCCGGCTTAGTTTTCTACTTTATCCAAAATAAAAATTGAGGGTTTTTTTCCCCCTACAAGACTGTAATTGTAGGTACTATATTCTGCTTTTGTATTAACTTCAATCTTGCTACACATGCCTGAAAACTCTTAAAAATAAGCAAGGTGTCTTTGGCCCCTGCTGGAGCCAAAGTATGCTAGGAAAGGAATATGGACAACCTCACCAGTAAAACCAGTCTTAATTTTTTAAAATCTGTTTCCAGTCAGTTTAATTATCTTTGACTATTCTGCTTTGGATTCTTGATCCTATCTCCCAAGTTAAACCATTCATCCCTCTTTTCCGAGCCCTGGGCACACATAGATGATGTGACTATAACTTTTAGAGTCCTGCTGCCTTCCCCATTTACTTTGCTTGTGGGAAGCCAGCAGGGAATGTCAGAAATCATGTGCTCACTGAGATATTGTGATTGCAAGCCAGACACCAAGTCCCTGAATTGCAGTCACATGATCCTGGGAATGCTGTGTCACAAAGGCACACGTGTGAAATAAATCAAATCTATAGATTTTTCACTTGTTTTTTGGAATTTAAATAGGGTACTAGTAAATCCTTGTGGCTATTATCTAATCGTGTTGCCCTCTTGACTAGAAAGGAGTAGTCTGATAAATGGCTTGGCTTAAAGTTGTTCTCAATGAGTATTCTCAGTGTTTCAAGGCAAGTAGAAGGGAGCTGATTGAGGGTTGGCTTTGGACTGGTTCGTGAGGGATTATGAGGTGGAAATGGAATAAAAACTCTGCTATATGGAAGGCCTGTAAGCTCCAATTGAAGGTAAAGGTCTTGATTCTTCTCTAAGCCTCAGTGTGCTTTAACAGCACTTTAGTGTTGGCTTTAATTCTAAAGTGTGTTTCTACCACATCTTGAAGAAATTTAATATAAGGCAGCCTTCCCTGACCTTTGCTCTCCAGTTGTGTTTATGACTCCCAGTTTCACCAACAAGACAGTGATGAGGCTGTATGAACATGTTGCAAACTGTACAATCTAGTACAGGGATCCCCAACCTGTGGGCCATGGCCCATTACGGGGCCACGGCTTATTCACAACCAGGCCGTGTGAGTGGTGGGCCAGTGTGTACACATGCCCAGCCCCACTTACGTGCAGCCCCATTCACACTTGCAGCCTTACTCGTGCAAGCAGAGGGTACAAGCGCCCGCTGCTCACACAAATGAAGCTGTGCACTTGCATGTGCCTCTGCCCCTCACACAAAACGATCTCCTCTTCCCTCCCTCCTCCCGCACTGGGCTGCCAACCTGGAAAGGTTGGGGAACGCTGATCTAGTACGTACATCTGGAAGGTGTTAAGAGTTATATATGCTGATATTAACCCAAGAATAGTTGTCACTGATTGATTTATATATTTATATCATAATGACTGACGAATCATTAATTCTTTGATAGAGGATTAGGTCAGTCATTGAGCTTTAAGACCTTCCTGAGGATATTTTCATTCCAGATCTTGCTCTCCCAAGAATGTCAACATCTTATGTGATTTCTCTGCTCTTACAATATTTCAGCAATTTAAACGCAGAGACACACACAACCCACATAAATATAATTGTTGGAATGCTGCAGGGGCTGTATAGAGATACTGCACTGTTGATCTAAACAAATTCATTATTAAGTCAACTGTAATTAAAATCCTGTATTAATCTTGCACTTCATTTTGTCTCATAGCTTGGATCCTCCTCTTCTGTGCCTTTTTCATCTATATTCTCACAGCTGTTCATGACTGTTGTGGTTCCACTCATAATTGGACAGGTAGGTTCATTTCTGGAGTTGTAAAAGAAAACTGTTTTGCACTTAAGAAGAGCTCTCTAAAAATAAATTTTAATAACAGAATTGTGTTGAGAATGAACATCTGCTTTCCGCAAAACATACCTTCTTAGCGTCAAAATAAATACTATGTACCTGAAGGAGGGACAAAATTGTCGTCTGATTCAGGAACAGTGAAAATGAGGACAGCATCTCTAAGCCACTTCACTTGCTAGAGTTGCAAAGAGAACCAGTACAAAGAAAATAGTCCTGCAAACTTATGTGCTGAAGTATAAGACTGTGCCCCAAAACTAGTTCTGTTTATTTACAAAAAATAAGTATTTTGGCTACCTGTTCTCAAATTGCGGCTAGTTATGTTTATGTATAAAACAAAATAAAAGCCTTGTGCACTCATCTTCCTAATATAAAACTAAAGTAGTTGAAGGACATGAAACCATAGTTAAATCTGGATCCTTGTGTCCTAATACCATTACCAATTAGAACCACACCAATAAAAAAAGATGTTTTTACACTTTGTTCAGAGACTCTATGGGGACATTTGTATTAACATCATTAGACTTATTAAAAAACACATTTTTTGTAATAAATTCAGGGAGACGTACAGTTAGGAGTCATACTTACAAGTGAAATAGTGATGAAATAAATAAATCTAGCCTCATTGGGGGTTCCACATTACTTAATTTTCTTCAGTGTTATACATCTGAAGCAAATTCCTATACAGCCTTATAGACAATTTGGATTTAAATGTTTCTCAGTTGCGACTTGAGCCTGCTTAACGCCCCTAGTTGGGGGGCTGCAAGGCAAAAGATATTGTAAAAAGTAAAACTGCAGTAAAGCAGTTAAAATGTCAAGGTGTAATCAATCAGACCGGTCTGTCTGAAAAACTTCCTGTATACCCCAATCTTTTGGGCACCAGGGACCGGTTCCACGGAGAGAGGTTTTTCTGTGGACCGGAGTGGGCATGGTTTCGTGTGCTGACTACATCCCACAGATTGGGTTTTGCTTGTTTGCGCAGCCTGTTTCCTGACATACCACAGCCAGTGCATGGATCAAGGGTTGGGGACCCTTGCTTTAGATCATAGATAGATATGTTTTTGTCTTTGTACACAGTTTCTTGATTCCTAAATCTGAACTAAGATAAATATATGTATGTGGAGGCACACAGAGGCATTTGCATGTTATTTGGGGGATGATGAAGATGAACATTTTAAGCATAGAGATTCATGCTTTTGAACAATAACAACAAAAGGTCATCAGGAGGCAGACGCACAGGATATACATTATGTAAAAAAAAGAACATCCTTATCTCCTAATAATGTAACATTTCTCGCTTTCTCTTTTTGCTTAAAGGAAGATAAACTATACAGTAAATACCATTCAGACAGAAAAAAAGAGTATTAGCCAAGGATGTTTTTTGATGCTGAATTTCATGGGATGATTTTTTTCATTAATTATTTGAACTTAATTCTATTCTCTATTTCTCTTTCTCGGTTTCCAAAAGCTTGGTGACAGGGAATCTAGCAGTTGGGGAAAGAACTTCAATATTTATGACTAGGACTTTGCTAGTGCTTTGCAGAACTCTAATTGAGTCACATCAAAGAGTGGGGTGTGATTCTCCATTTTTGGCAAGTGATATGAAGTCTTTTGATTAGCAAAGCTGAATTAAAAAAAAAACCTGACTATGTAATCTTATTTGCCCTGCTGAGCATAACATACTGCTTCATGCATGCAAGGCAGCTTATGTTTTTTTGCTCTAAGTCATGTCTCAGCTGGGGTTCTTTGAGGACTTTGAGTTGACAAATACATAACCACAGGCTGGTCTAAGTCTGAAATGGGCCACTATTCACAGGGTAGGATAGCCTTCAACCTTCTACATACTAAGCATTTTCTAATGAACATAGTAAATAAGTCACTGGGTGGCTTATATCATATGATCACTCTTGGAATCCAGTAATTCTATAGATATGTGTGCAAGATTGATATCTGTATGAAATAACCACTGATGGTTTACATACTCTAGTGACCAAGTCTTGCCATTTGATCAGAGTATAAAATGTTAAATATTCAATATTCAGTTGTTTAACAGGGTTGGCAATTAAAAATACACATCAAAGTTAGGTAATATTCCTCTCTGAAAATGTGTGTATACTCAATGGTTTCATTACAATTTTTGCTTGGAAAAAACAATAAAATTGAAAAACACATGAAAGATACATAATAATCTCATGACTGAGATATAGTCCAATTCCCTGTCTGATGTGGAAGGACCAGCAAACCGGTCATAAAAGTGATGGCTTTTTTTTAATAGAGGGTGAAAAATGTTTGACTAAGAACTGGACAGGTTACAGAATAAAAACGTAATAGAAATCTTCATATAAAAAGTGATTTGCTACAGTCTTGACTTGATTTTTATATTATTGCAGAGCAGGATAGATCTGTGTTGTTGTATCCCTGGAGACTATTTTTGAAGGCTTAGTACATGATGTGCCACAGTTTCTCACATTTTATGCCGCATATAGCAAAGTATCTTTATCTCAATAAGATGCAGTATTTTGTATTTATCTCTCAACCATATTGGCCTAAACCCATATGTCTAGGCAAAAAATGTGGGTTTTTTTGTTTGGGTTGTCTCATTTTAGCAGGAAAGTTTCAGACAGCTGGAAAAAAATGAATGTCCTGGTAATATTTCCCTTTTTTTTCCTGCTGTCCTTCTCTACTTTCTAGACCTAAGTGCTTCTGACAGACTTTTATTTTATGTTTTATTTTAAAGAGTGATTTATGATTAAAAGTTAATGAAATAGAATTTTCCACAGTGCTTTTATTATATTCCACCAGTTTGAACATTTTTCAAAGGCGCACATCGAAACCCACTGTTCTCTATGAATAAATAATAAAAGCCATGTCTGTACATTATCATTCACGCATTCTCTAGTTGCCCATTGGTAATCTGTTTGCCAGTCAGGAATAAGGACTTTATATTAAATTATCCTTAACTAAAACACAAATTAGTTATTACAATTGCACTAATTTAAAATATGAACATATGGTTTTGTGTAATTGAAACCATAAGTTTGTTAGATGGTTTTGTTTCAGTACAAAATTGTCTAAAAGGTTTATGTATGAAGCATGAACACAATCACTAGCTTCATATACTAAGCCATCATTTGGGACTTGCTAAATAAGCCACAAGACTTGTGTTCACATCTCATATTAAATTATAAACTATAGTTTACAAACAAACCAGATTACGTCTTAATGCAATTTCTGAACCACAAATAATGTTAACATTCTCCATAATGCTCAGTAAGTATATTTTAAAGTGATGCTAGATTGTTTTATTTCTGTTGAAGAAATTTGAAGTTTAACCTCTTATTCTACTAAAGGTTCCTGGTTGGATGTGCACAAAACAAAACAAACAATTGCTTTTTTCTGAACTCCAAGTAGATACATTGCATTGCATTCCACTGAGACATTCCAGATGATCACAATTGGTAGAATGAATCCTGGAATGCTTGTGTTCTGGGTTTCAGCTGAAACAAATCTTGTAGGGATCTTGGAGTGATTTCACTCAGTGAATAGAGCAAGACAGTTGCATGATAATCCATCGCCACTTCAGCAGATCTCAATATGTAGGCCACTTAATCTTGCTACAGACAAATTTTCCAGTGCCTTGCTTTCCCTTTCCACCACCAAAGATGTCCTTTTGGTGGTGAAAAGGGAAAGCAAGGCTTTGTAAAGTTAGTCCATAGCAAGTTTAGGTGGCCAATACAGTATATTGGTGTGGAAAGGGAAAGCAAGGCTCTGGAAAGTTGGTGTCCCTTTAGTGGAGGGATGGCATATTCTATCAAACCATTCCTTCCATCTTTGCAGCACCTCACCTGCCCCCCCCCCCATCCTATGTCTCTCCTCTAATACTGCTTCTGTCAATGTCTTTAGCTCTTCCTGCCAGCAAGACACTTTGTACAGACCAGTCATGTTTTGAGCTATATTCAGAACAAAACAGACCCATTTCATTCTATTTCCAAAACAATGTGCATGTTTCAATTCCAAGGCAAACTGTCCAAAATGGTTTTATACACATGTTTTGTACAGTAACCATTTTACACATCTTAATGTCTTATATTGATTCAATTATTTCTTAAAATCCTCATTAAAGCTATAAGGTTTAGCCAAAAGCATCAATTTGAGTATAGCAGCAATCATATTCTTTTCTGTGTTTTATCTGTTCTGCTTCTTCTCTTAACTGTGACAAACAAATAGAGCAGATGAAGCATTATGAAGCAAAGAGGAAAGTTACAGTGAGCACCAAGAAAGCTCCAGAGAAATCTAGGACTGCCCTGTAACCAGGTCATTTCTCTGAGCCGTAACTCCTTTCTTGAGTGAAGGCTATATCAGATATTTTCCACCTGTATGAGCAGATTACATTTGGTTCTGTGTGACAAGGAACAATTTCTTGGGTGATATTGGTTTGAAAGGTACACATTCCAAAGGTCCCAATTCAAAAGCTTAATGGGTTTAATCTGATAGGATTAGACTTCAGTTTAAGAAACTAGGTAAATTTATAGCCATTTCTGCATCCAGTGCTGTTAATCTCACAGATTAGGCTCCTGATAAAAGCATTGAGAATGGCAATGAAAAAGTATCTGTAAACGATGAGCAGAACAAAATGGACTGTTCTCTTTAGTTAAGAGCTAATGTGGAATGCAAGTGGTAACATTGAGAAAGAAGATATAGAAATGAAATAAGAGCGTGTAATTTTTTTTTGTTAGAACAGTTCCTCATAGTCTGCTATAAAATGGGGGAAAGCACTGATATACTTTATTAGTGAAAGAGTAAAGTATTCACAGACATTTCTATTGATGCCTATATTACTTTCCCCATCCTCCAACTTTTAAATATTATTTATTTAAGAGAAGTATGCAGGGGGGCTACTTTGCCTTCAAGGAAATGTGTTTTATGGCTGAAGCACCATAGCAGCCATTGTC